CAGAGGACTTCACCATTGAAATTCACCAGAGCTATAGTGAAACTGACAATGCCCACGTGCATGGCAGCTGGATGCTGGAATACATCGGGTAAAAGTGGAAAAAAAAATGAGTTATTTCACAGATTCCCGATCCTCCACGGACGAAAGAAGTTTAAATCGTGAATATGAATATACAGAATTATGCTTTTGGATTTACAGTTGGAAACTTACATAGTAGGTGTCAATACTCTCCCTGTCTAGCTTTTTGGTCAATCGAACATTTCCATTATTAGGGTCAACCACGAACACATGGAAAGGAAACTTATTTGCTCCAACTCCCTCTAAGGAGTAAGTCACACCTTCTGCAGCTGAATAGTCAGATCGGATCTGAAACAGAAGAAGACTCTGATTAGACGACGCATGAAACATGGAGAAGTCTTTCAGTGAGATGGTTCAGAGTTGCTCACCTTGGCAATATATTCCAGATGACTATAGTCAACATTTTCCTTCAGAGTTTTTGGAGGAATAATCCACTCTCGTTTGTGCCTCACCAGATTAAATCCAGAATGAGCTTTTACCAACACAGCAGCCTGAATCTGTGAAATAAAAAAATAACACTGTTACATTAATGAAGACAGTCTGGTAGTCATCTAAGCCTTGAAGCGGGCTTAGATGACTCAGAGAGCGGGTTTAGTGACATTCAAATGAAACAGGTGGACAGAGGAATGCTGTCACTTCCTCTGAAGAGGATTCTCAGTTTTGCTTTTCCAGGGGAGAGACAGAGCTTGTTCATCCGGGAACAGAAACAGGGTCAGAACCATGGAGGCAGAATCAGGCTTATAAATTGGACTACGCCAGAGGCGGCAGTCAGGGGCAGAAATATCGTCGATGTTCTGAAAAATCTGTGAGGTCCAGGGGCGGCCAATCAAAGGCGAATAAGTTGCAGATCAAAACCAGGATCAGAAAAGGAACGCTGGACATCTGCTAACCAAAGGTTTTCAATAATCTGGCCCCATCAAATAGTTTGATGCTGCTTAAAAAAAGGATTTGAGACAAGTTGAAGGAACGAGCTTTGATGAGAGTGAGCGGAAGGTGGCGAAGGAGGAGAGTAAAGGAAAAGACAAGTATTTGACAGACCAGAATCATGAACTAAAGAGACTGAGAGTAACGACAATGAAATGGTTAACACTCATGTTACAACAGTAGTGATACAAAATAATTCTTAACTAAAAATGTTTTGTTTAATACAAAAGAAATCATATCTGTATAAGACAAAAGGAAGAATGAATAATCATAATTATGCTCTCTTAATTGTCTGTAATACCTCTCAGATGAATTGGTTGATGAAGAAGAGAGCAGAAAGGAGCTTTTCCTTTTTATTTTATTATAAAAACCGGTAAAGATTAGAAAGATAAATCTGGTGAATTTCAGTTAAAAAACTGTTGCTGTGACCTTAACCCTGTCAGCCATCTTTCTAGATGTGTTTTTAGGTCAAAGTTCTCACATACAGAAGTAATTTTATTTAAAAAGGGCATCATTATTAATAATTTGTATTAATTATAAGGTTTCTGTTTTCTTTGATGTTTTTTCTTTTGAGTATCCAGTTTTGCTTTTCTTCTTGTTTCTTAGTTTTTATGTTTTAATTCTTTGTTTATTGTGTTCTTTGGTTTTTTTCTCTCTTACTGTCCGAGTCTTGGTTCTGTTTTATTTTCTTTTTAGTAGTTAGTTTTACTCCATGTTTTTTAGTCTTAGTGGTTTAATTATTATTTTGTTGTTTTCAGTCTTCCAGGTTTTTCATTTGCTGCCCTCTGCTGCCCTCTTGTGTTCTCCTTTTTCCCTAGCTCCTGTTTTGTTTCTGCCTCTGTGCTCGCCTGTTTCCTATCTGCTCATTAGCCCCCCCTTTGTCTCTGTCTCCTCTAAAAGCTCTCTCTGTTCTCTTCCTCTTTGCTGCGTCCTCGTCTATTTCGTCTTACATGCTCCAACTTCGTCTCTCCGAGGCTTCATCCTTGAGTTTTGATTCCCTGATGTCTCCATGGTTTCTGGTTTGT